AAGGCAGCGAAGGAAGACAGTACTTCCTTCAGGTGAATGTAGAGAAGACAAAGGTGATGAAGATACCCAATCATCACCACCATCAACAACAACAGGTACGAATCATCATCAACGAGAGAAATCTAAAGAAAGTTGTCTCTTTCACCTACACCTACCTGGACAGCATCGTTTCAACTACAGGCGGCACAGGCACAGATGAGGATGTCAAAGTAAGGATCGCAAAGATAAACCTTCAATAATCTGAAGTTAATCAGTGTGGAGGTCTACTGCTCTATACTCATCATAAAGCGTGAAAACATTCGGATTTTCAACACTGACGTCAATCAAGTAACTCAGTGCTTCTATATGATGGCTGAGAGACTTGGCGGTGCGTTACGAAAAGCATTTCCAATAGTCTGCAGACATACATCATCAAACGCTACCGCCTATGCTCACTCGATACTGAAGATGAGATCAGATGGCGAGAATGATGAGAATAAGCAAGAAGGAATTCTGGCTGTTTGGCTCAAAACGAACCAACCGATCAACAACCTATCGCCCAACAGATATGCAGTAGAAGCAAGGGGAGATGGATTGGATTGGATTTGGCATACATCGAGGAGACGGTTTGGGGAGGTCATGCGCCAGGCCAGGCCCTCGAATGGAACCCAAAATGGGAAACGACGAGTTGGGCGTGTGAGGGTGACACGGAAGAAATGGTGTTAGGAAAAAATGAATGCTTGTGGACAGTCATGGGGCCAGGTTGAGAAGACTCCAGAGAAGAAAGTGGAATGGTGACGTGCTACTGAAGCCTAATGTTCCACTAGGAACTCAAGGAACATATAAAAATCATTCTTACCTTTAGTGCAAGTGAATTTCTCTTTTCCCATGATTTTAAATCTTCATGAATTCTCCAACTTTCGGGAGAATTTTTTATTCGGTATACGAAAGGATAGTAGACAATCAAAGAGTAGCTAGCTAGAGAGTGACCAGTTAAACTATTCCTTGAAGTCTTCTATCTATCCTACTAGTTTGATTCAGGCGTCATGACTCGTGATTTATCAAACTGTACATACTTTCTACCGAAAGACTTCATTTGGGATATTTATTCTACAGATTTTAATTAAATTTTTTTAAATATCAACCATAGCATAGGAGGTTTATTTGAATCTCGCTCGTTGGTCAATCCAAAAAGCCGGGAGACTTTTCCGCTATCAAGTCCTAATCTAGTATGTCCGCGGTCGCTGGTTAGAATCCCGTCGTAGACCAGTTGTCCATTTCACCTTTAATCAGCATCATACTGTACTGTTAATCATATTTCAAAAACTCCAGGTTAACATTATTTCATTACTTGGTTGTGACTAGCAGAGGAATCCAGGACGCTCGTTTTGTCCTGTTTGAGACTCGTCAGTTGGATGTACATGGGCCTCAGTGAGTGGTGTTGTTCCCACTGAGACTCGGACCTCATATTCATCGCTTCGACCGCCAAAGCGTCATCCACTAACCATTGAGCCACGAACAATTCTACCGGATGGCTGATATGATCATGGGTAGTCCATCGACAGATACCTTGCTAGTATATGTATATGAAGAATCTACTTGAAAACAAACGTTCGCTTCTATAAAATATGTGTAGATATAACATCACTGTTGTATATGTGGATAAGCCAGAATTCTCAGTCAAATGAATAAAGTCTGAAGTGGCATATCCTTAACATGTGAGAAAGAAAAGGATGTATGCCAGCCTTTCTAAAATACCTTCATAACTCCCCGGCAAGATTGGTCAATAAAACAAATCATCTGTAGAAAATCTATATGACTAGGACAGTGTTCAAATTACCTAGTTTCCATCTATTTCAGTATTAAACAGGCTCCAGTCAGCTCCTCGTTCAAAACTGGATTCAAAAGATAAGGATATATGACACTTTTGAAGGGAGGGAGGGGCGCAAACTCTTGTCAAAGTATTATCTGACAAGAATTATCTCCTGAAATTTATTAATCATGACAAAAATGCTGAACATAGAGTTTAACAATGAAACAAAGACTTAAGATAGGCATCCGGAGTAGATGCTCTGCAGCACAGATCAACATCATAAAGAAAATGAAACTTTTTTACTCCTGTAAACTGTCTCAGCATTTGACCGATGGATGTATGTGGATATATGGTCACATACCTAGAGAGAACATGTTGTTCTATGAAAGTTAAGACTATAGAGCACATTCCAAAATAGTTGAGACAACAACTGACCACCCAGGCATTGGGTATCCCACTTCATCTGTGACTAAACCTACCACTGAAACACGTCACAAGTTTGATTTGTATGCATCTTTCCAACATGTTTACAAAACTCACTGAGAACATATAATACCTTGGGTTTGTTGAAGCTTTAGGTATAAAAAGTTTAGGCCCCTTTTCTGTATTGAAAATAGTTTGTTGTTACTTCGACCCTCCCTTGGTAACTCGACTTTAATATCAAGGATGATTTATGTTATATGGTATTTTTCCCATCTATCCCTTAATCATTCAACCTTTAAACGATTAATTTTTCTCTTTATTACATCGATTATTTGTTCAACTCACTTATGCTTTATAATAATTCATATAAAATATACTTGACAGTTGTTCAAAGTGTACTGACATAGAACATTACACATTTCATATAAACTACTCCTCTTTCTTATTATCTAGTCGAGATTTTTCAAGGTGATTAAACTTTTTTTAGACTCAAAGTATGCTGCATAACTTCTATGATAGGATGGGTAGATATGTGATAAAAGTCGTGTCCACTTCAAATGCCCACTGTTCTTTGCACAAGATAATTTGATGCATTTACAAATGTATATCATGGAAAACAACTATTCTCATGTCATTTGTTTTTCTGTTCCTCTTCATATTTTGTTTATTTATTTATCATGTAGAGTTTCTTTTCCCTGTATAGTTTCAAACTGGAATGTGATATGGTATTCAGCGAAGAGACTCTTTTCAACGAATTCGTTTTCAAGCTGTACACTCATATATATATGATATTTGAAAAATTATATCCCGTGAGGAAAACTAAACACAATATTTCAAGTTGTTATTCATCGTAGACTGACATCAGTTGGAGGAATAAAGGAAACCTGGGAGTACTGGACAGCTGTTTCGTCCCAGTATGGGACTCCTCGGCAATGTGCGCGCGCTGGCCGCGGAACCTGAAGGTGGAGGGTTCGATCCCTGGTGGGGTCATGGGAGTGCACTGTCGAGGAGTCCCATACTAAAACGAAACAGCTGTCCAGTGCTCCCAGGTTTCCTTTGTTCCTCCAACTGATGTCAGTCTACAATGAATAACAAGTTGAAATATTTCCAAATCTCCACAACTCCCTCAAAATCCAATCCAACACAAGATGATGATGACAATAATAATGGAGCGGATGATGATATAGGCATTTGTGATTATAATAACAATTGAAGTGCGAATGAAAGCAGATAGATTATGTAGTATATGGAATGGTTCATAGAAAGTATATAACTCAGAAGGGATTGAAGAAATTGTTGAAAATGGTAAATCAATTAAGTATTATGTAATAGCACTGGACAAGTTGGACAGGATGAAATCAATGTCTTCTAAAAGGAATAAGACAATTAAGTAAAATAACACCGGAAACTAATTAAAGTCAAGGCGATTATAATGACAATAATAGTGGTAAAGGAAGGATACAAAAGTTACAACGGTTGAATTAACAAAGTGCGTGCGGAGGGAACTAATGGGATGGGAAAATGTTATGGCCATGATAAAGACAGTGACTGCACATACTTCCTTTGCACACATAGATCACGTTTATTTCATGAATAGCCAAAGCTTCCACTGTTTTAAGGAGTTGAAAACGAAGAGAACGTGGGAGGTTTGGGCGAATTTGATAAATAATTTCAAAGTCATCGTCTGGATTTGTTGTGTGATGGAAGTCAATCAAATGTTCTAGAATCGAACTTCTAACAGACTTTCTTTCACCTTTATAAAATCAAGCAGGAACATGTTCTCGTATACGTGTAGAAAGCATTTTCTGCCTACAGCCCATGTACCTTAATCCACAAGAGCAGGTGAGCTGGTAGATGCACATAGATGCATTTTTAACAATTTTTTCACCCCCTTCTCAGTTATATACTCTTTATGTACCATTCCATATATTACATAATCTATTTGTTATTATTCGCACTTCAATTGTTATTATAATCATAAATGCCTATGTCATCATCCTCTCTATTATTATTGTCATCACCATATAGTGTTTAGTTTTCCTCACAGGATATAATTTTTCAAATATCATATATATACAATTGTACAACTTGAAAATAAATTCGTTGAAAAGATTTTGAGGGGGTTGTGGAGATTTGGAAATTTTTCAAGTTGTTATTCCTCCAACTGGTGTCAGTCTTCGTTGAAAAGAGTCTTTTCGCTAAATATCTTCTTGATGCCAAAATGGGAATTATAAAATATAGTATTCTAACGATCATTGTTTACCTTGGTTTGTCTTTCTTGTAAAGGCACCAGTTTTGTATAAAACATTGTTATCGTCCTGAACATTTTTTTAACTTGGCATTCTCATACCATTTTACAGTATAACTAGTAGTTTAATTTTTGCCCCCATTGTAATGTAATTCGCTAATCAGTTAATCTTTTACTCTTACTATGCAAATTTCTCTAATTTTGGACAAGATCATATTTTATGTGTATATATATTCACGTGTTTTGAATTGATTGATTATTATACTTTCGGAGTAATAAACTCTCCCATCTGCCAGCTTCGGTCTTCCGTCTATTTGCCTCGGGGTTGCAGTCAGTGGCTCTTTCGTGCTAAGTTGGCTGTCAGTTAAGAGTGCATGTTCTATTTATTCGGAATATATATATATATAACCGTTGGCGTACGAAGATATAGCAGCCTTCATCAGTAATTATCAACATAACTTATTATTTGTATGCTCAAACTTACTTTATTTTAAAAGCTTAAGTAATCTTGTTTTCATCTTTTTTTGATTTCAATAGGTAGGTTTAAATAAACATACTGTATGCGTAGGACGAGTATTTGCTGAATTGCCATTCGATTCTGATTTAGCTATGAATTTACTACTTGTTGATGCCCATGGTACACCTTTCGGTGTACGACTATACAATGTTGGAAAGGTTAGTTTGATTAGTAGTAAGGAATTGCTGTGTTTATACATATTAATATATCGCTGCTTGTATTATCAAGTTGACCGAATTGATTGGTCTCTATTATCATATAGGCTCCTGTGCAGATGCCACGATATTGCCTATATTTTAATCATATATTAATGATGGATAGTGGCTAACAATGGAATGCAGCTTGATGCGCGTTTTATCCTATTTGGAATACGTCAGCTGAATTAGCCTGCCTCCTAGTGCGCATGATGTTGTCCCTACTGGGATTCGAACTTGTAACCGGTCGCTTCATGCACCAGAATATTATCCAAAGCGCCACCAAGTCACGATAGTCACTTGTGAGATGGGTATAATTTTAATCAATGACGAAATAATACAAGCAACAAGAATAAAACTATATCCGTCCCAGAAGAATTGTATATTGTGGCTTAGTAGTCTAGTGGATAAAGCTTTGGTGTTTGAAGCGATGAGTTACGAGGTTTGAATTTTTGTGGGAATAACATCACTCACTGAGAGGTAGGTATATTCAGCTGACCAGTCCCGAACAAGACGAAACGTGCGTCCTGGATTCCACTTCTAATCACTATCCATCATCAATATAGAATTTTTACGGCGGCTGGGTCAGAATCTTAGCAGTTGGAAAGAACTGTGGGATATCAGATAAACCTTTAACGTCTATGTTATGACTTACTGAACTGTTGAGCACGACGAATAAGCTTTCCAAAAATTCATTTACTCTCTGTCTGTCTGTCTTTCTCTCTAATTAACTGTTGGAATTAGATGACATTATTCATGTTATATATTAGTCTCATTGTATACTTGACTATAATTCACTGTTTGTCACAGGTATCCTGTTGAAACGTTAACAATGAAGTCATCTTACTTCATTGTTCTGTGCAACTTCATGTAACTCAGAAAACAGATTTATGCATACCCCGTAATTTGAGTTGATCGGTGATGAATTTGAAAGTATATACACGATGTGGAGTCAATTTGCTTCAATAAAAATTCAACCTTGTTATTTGGTGTTCTCGTGTAATTTGACATTAGTATGCATATATATGTATGGATCTGTCTCTGTGTATATAATCTAAGACTAGATAACATGAAATTGGTTACTCCTGAGTGATCAATCAATGTAGCTAATTCATTCCTGATGAAAATGGCCTCAGATTGATACCTCAATGATAACGTATCTGACTAGGATACAGGATGATGCTGGTTCAAATCTTAGCAAAGTTACCAATTCCCTTGAGGTTGAAGATACGCCTTGCTTACTAGTACCACCACCTATCTAACTAACATCTACCAAAGGACACCGTGATGGTCGATCTCCTAGTTTATTAGCTACACTGCGAGAATTTGGCCAGTATTGAGGATTAGACAATGTGAAATCGGGTTGTGTCCAATAACTGGTCAGTAAATCTCTTAATGTGCTTAGTTAAAATTTACTAATACGCTTTATGTTATGATATCCTATAGACAGTATGACTATGATGATGATAAACCTTACAAGTCGTATACCTAATGAAGAAACGATTCTTTTGTACCACGACAGTCTTGAAAGTTTTGTCCTATATCTTAGTTTCAAGATCTTCTTAACATTCCCTATTGATTTGTGAGTATAAGTGGGTAGTTATTTTTGTAATCAGATTATTTCACATGGGACATTCAAGCACCTGTATTATAACACCATCTTGTTGCAACTAAAAAAGGTAGTGAGAACGATTATCGATGATAATACATCGTACAGTCTTTCAGCTGTCGGCGCTAAGTAGGATTTTATAAGTTATATCTTCAACAGAGGTTGCCAGAAACAGGACTGTTCTCCAAAAACACTGTCATCATTTCTTGATTGACATAGATAGCTAACGAATAATGATAATCCTTAAATGTAAATATATGCATCCGTCTTATCTACTCAGTGATAAGCTACATTTCTGTGTACAGATGCATCATAATAACTTGTTATACGGATGAAAATGCTTGCCATGAATATGTGACTATTTAGTTCATTAGTAAGTGTTGTATAGGCTAAATGGTCATTTGCTCTATTTTTATTGAGATGTCATCCTGGATAAATCTTCATCGAAACGATGTATATCCACATTAATGGACACTATGGCGTCACATACTGGATCAATCAGATTGGTTCCATGTGCTTTCACTTACTACAATGAACGCATCCATTATTTGAATTATCTGATGAAGAATATGACAAATTTCAGAAATATATAACCTCTGATTGTTAAGCGTTGGAATATTACCAGTTCAATACTCATAAAGTGTTTAAAATTAGTCATTATTTGTTTAGAAACGGGAAAAGTATATCTTGAATTACTCCAGTTCAAAGATAAACTCTGTTGCTTTTACCCTAAATTCTGTCATGTTCAATTTAACGTGAGTAAACTGAGAATAGAAGTTCAGTTTGAGAAACTTATCACAACCAGACAATATTTGAATTCATATGGAATTGGAACAAGGATGTGGAAGAAATTGAATCTACCATCGAAAATGACTGTGGTCGATTTGCTAACATTCTATGCTGTCAGTCATCAAACAACTACTGGTGAATACAGACACAATTGTGTTTCGGTGATACAAATACTCAGGAATGATGATAGTAAATCGATCTGATTATAAGTACAAATTATCAAACTTATTCTCCGATGAGATGACATTTGACGAATTAGCCTATACGAAAGGCAAGTGAACAGAGAGAAAATGGTTGTATAATTCTAAATGAAGTGGAGAGAAAGAAATGTTCCTTTTCAACTAGTAGTAGACATTACCACCTCTGGATATCATCTGACTGCCGAATGACTGACACGTTTTGTCAAACTCTTGAGGAAGCATGTTACAAAATTTATGCCTAAGGAAACCCTTAGGATTTATCCAGTCCACGGAAAATATGAATATCTCCTTTACATGTTACTTGTTTCTTCACATACATTCCTTTAATTGGGATTCTCTGCATCATAATAACCCGTATATAGATGAAAATGTTTTCCATGAATATGTGACTATTCAGTTCATCAATAAACGTTGTGTAGGCAAGAAAGTCATTTTCTCTTCATTCCTCGAAATGTTATCCTTGTCTATATCTTGACTGAGTTTAACGATGATATGTGACAGGATATCTCTATGGATGTGAATCATATACATTTAAATCTGTTTTCACATTGTTTTTGATGAATTTTGGTGTCAACAAGTATCCAGCTAACCGTCGATCTATTTCAACCATTTAATTACTGTCACCAATTATCACATAGATATCGCTTTCTCTTCTATTTCTCAGTCGATTTAGATATGTTGAGATATCGCTTCATATAGGAGAGATGATTGAGTGAAATAAGATACACCCTGCCACTTCCGTGTGCATTTATCAATTCAACTGCTCCTGTGGAGCTAGTTACATTGGGCGTACAATGAGGCAGTTCCATCGTCAAATTTTGAGCACCAGCCATCATGGTTGAGCAAGGGGTAAATTAGAACAATGAAAAGCTCTATACTTGCACACCTAGTTGACACGGGACATCAAGTAGATACTAGAAAAGCTTTGGAAATTATTCATCAGATTCCAATTAACTTACCACATGGATTACGCACTCGCTTACTTTACATAACAGAGGCGATTGCAATCCACCTTTACAAACCTAACCTTTGTATTCAAAAGAAGTTTGTTCGACCACTATCACCACCGTGGTCGTCAACATGATATAACTTCTAGTGTTAATTTGTACACCTTCTCCCCCCCTGTCTTGTTTATATCAATATTCATTTGTTTTCTCATTAGTATGTAATCGCTCATTGTGAATGTCTGAATACTCTTCAAAAGTCACTCTATTTATCTAAGAATAGCCTGGCTCATATTTATATCTTTATTTCTTAAACTTATCATCTTCATGACTTACTTAAAATGTATAATTATTGTTCCGCCTGTCCCTCATCCCCTCACTAGTCGATTGGTAATCAGATTAAATTGTAAACCCCCCTGTGTATTAGTGTAGAGCCCAAGATGAAGATTTAATTGATAAGGAATATATATTTCTTTGCTCAATTAGTCTGTTTTCTAAATGTTTAAATGGGAATATTTCAATAAATAGCCTCAATAGGTGTTAATATCCTATACTATCGATGATTGTATGAAATTTGCCTTTTTTTTCTTTCTTCATCTTATTCAAATTAATAGTTTTGTTACTATATGATGAATGGAGATACTTTCCTTGATTTTATTGTCCTCTTCATCTCTCTTTCACAGGGTACAGGACCGACTCGAAATGATATTGTCGCTATACCTCATCCATTCGTTGAAGAGATATTCATTGAAGGCTTTGTATTGCATTCATGTATTACTGCTTTATCAGTTTTAGACAGTAAATATATATCGACTGATATGATTAGTAAATTAGCAAATCTTTATATTGCCACTACTACTCTTCCAATTTCTACAACTATTACTAACACTAACATAAGTAGTAGTAGTAGTAGTAATGGTGGAACAGGGTCAACTTTAAACTCAAAATTGTCTAAAGAATCACTAATCTTCTTAGGGATATCATGGATATACGTATTCGCATGATACGTGTCCCATTACCTGATTTTCTTGTAGTAAATGGTCAGCCAGTTGGATCTAGTTGGACAGCTGCACCAATATTAAAAAATATATTCTTTACTAAAAATTAATAATTTGAAGAAAAAAAAAATATCTATCACGCTTGAAAATTTGTTTACTTCTACATGAAAATGTATGGATATGCATACATCTATAGTACATCTAATTTTCTTTAATCTCTAGGTGAATATTATCAACTTTTCATGTTTCAAAGTAAAGTAATATACCTTCATCCCAGGAAAATCTATTTAATCATTGAATAACAGTGTCTAGATAAACAAATGTTTGTTAATTCTTTGTAAGCTTATTCATTTTTTTGTTCTAAATCTATCTACTACTCTTTTATAAATAAGTAGCATTATAGTAGAGTAATCCATATGATTTTCTTTAGAATGAGGAATATTGCACATATATAGGTGTATTTATAACGGGATTGAAGAGAAGTGTATACTTCTTTTTTAATGGTTTATATTATATTTTATGATACACTGTAGTTTTTTGTATAAATATACTAAATAATCTCATCGGTTTGAGTTAGTCTCTTTTATTGGTTTTCTTATAGTTGGTTGTTTGGAAGTGTTCAACTAAAAGCTATTAACACATCGGTTTCCTGTTGTTTTCTTTTGCATACATTATACAAGAAGGATATTCATTACTTGAAAACAAGTTTTTCTATACTACCGGTCTAAGATATTATTATTATCATCAATGTTTTAAATATTTGCCTACGCTTAACAATGATGGTAGGTATAATAATCCATCAATTATCCTACAGGCAAAGTCCAACAAGTTGACAGAAGGGGCAGCGAAGACGGGACTTCAAGTGAATGTAGAGAAGACAGAGGTGATGATGACACCCAACCAACAACAAGCTCCAATCACCATCAACGGGAGAAACTTAAAGGAAGTAGCCTCTTTCACCTATCTGCCTAGTCAGAACTGTTTCAACTACAGGCGACACAGACGAAGACGTCAAAGCAAGAAGGCGTTCATTAACCTGAAACCAGTGTGGAGATCTTCTGCGCTCAGCATGTGGAACAAGATCCGGATTTTCAACACCAACTTCAGTCAAGTCCATGCTTCTATATCATGGTCGAGAGACTTGGCGCGTTACGAAAAGTATTTCCAACTAACTACAGATATTCATCAATAACTGCCTACATTGGCTCGTTACTGAAGCTCAGATGGTCAGAAAGAATAAGCAACAAAGAACTCTACCTGGCTGGAAACGAACCAATCAATAACCTATCGCTCAACAAATATGCAGAAGGAAATGGAGATGGAATGGCATGCACTGAGAAGACCATTCAAGGACATCACGCGCCAGGCCACGCCCTCGAGTGGAACCCAGATGAGAAACGACGAGTTGGGCGTCCGAGGTGAGGGTGACATAGAGGAGATCGTGGTAGAAGGAATAGTAGCTTGTGGGCAGTCGTGAAGCCAGATTGAAAAGATTGCAGAGAACAGAGTGGAACGTAGACGTGCTGCTGAATCCCTATGTCCCACTAGGAACCAAGAGACAAAGAATGATAATTATTATCCTACTTTATATTGTAGTGTTTTGCTCAGCATAGAAATAAGTAGGACAGGAAGCAAAATTGATCAAAAATGCCTCACTATGAAGTTAATTGTTGTTTTCAGTTGAATGTTAATGAATGTACACTCTTCTTGATTGGATGTTTTCAGTATATTAAGAATCAGCATCTATAAGCTTCAAATACGTAATAAAATCGCTGAAAAGAGACTCTTCGGTGAAATACTGATTCTTCTTTCATAGCCTGATCAGTAAATTTCATACATTGTAAACTAGAAAGAACCCAACCATTACATAGAAGCACTGAGTTACTTGATTGACATCAGTGTTGAAAATCCGAATGTTGTTCACGCTTTATGATGAGTATAGCGCAGTAGACCTACACACTGATTAACTTCAGATTATTGAAGGTTTATCTTTGCGATCCTTACTTTGACATCCTCATCTGTGCCTGTGCCACCTGTAGTTGAAACGATGCTGTCAGGTAGGTGTAGGTGAAAGAGACAACTTTCTTTAGATTTCTCCGTTGATGATGATTAGTACCTGTTGTTGTTGATGGTGGTGATGATTGGGTATCTTCATCACCTTTGTCTTCTCTACATTCACCTGAAGGAAGTACTGTCTCCTTCGCTGCCTTGTCTTTTCTGCTGACTTGTTGGTTTCCACCTGTAGACTTTCGAGTTTGTGAAACATTAGACATAAACCATCGTCGGCGAAATTCAAATCTTCTTCTGGGGTCTTTTCATCATTCCAGCCAGTGTATACCCTTCTTATCGCTCCTCACAGTTTGTTGCATGATCCTGTCCATTATAGTCGACCACAATCAGGAAGATCATGAGTGATGGATAGTAGGCAGCAACCATGTTTGCTCGTGTCCCTGTCTTCACTGCAAAGGTGTCACTGAGCCTTCAACTGTGAATCATTTGGCATGTAGCATCATCATAAGGCACATAGCTGTTGAATGAGGTTGATAGATGTTTGTGGCATTAAAACCGTAGTGTTGAGGCAGTTGCCGAATTACTTCTCGGTCGACGCTATCGAAGGCTATTTGAAAATCGGTGAAGTTGAGTTAAGATAAAGAGTTGAATGCCATTCTACGCTCATTTGTGTGATGATGCGTAGCATTGCAATTTGATGCACACATGATTTGTTCTTCCTGAAACCAACCTGTTGCGGTTGTAGTTTTGAATCCAGAGCATCCTTTAGTGGCTCCAAGATGATGTGGTTTAATATTTTGCTTGGGGTGGACGGGGGCGGAGCATGATTTCGCGCCAGTTTTTGCAGAGACTTAGGTCGCCCACCCTTCTTTGGGAGTTTCAAAAGGTAGCCCTTCTTCCAATCAGTTGCCGGGACCCTTCCTTGCTTCCAAGGCTTTTGCAGTAGTGATATGAGGATGAGGGCGCTCATCTCCAAATGTGAAGTAGAGTGTGCCGGCGCACAGCGGTAGTAGCTCCCCCAGAAATGTTGGAGTAATAGGAATTGGGAGGTTTCTAGAAGATATTTAGTCACAGAGAATGTTAATAGTCTTGAACAAGGACACGTTAGTGAATAAAAAATTTACATCGAAAGAATACATACATAGTCATGCTTTTGTTATTCATGTTACTAAGACAGTCAACTAATTGAAAAATATCTTTGTATGAAAACTTACAGAATTCGTTTCTAACTGGATTTAACATTTTTGCCAACCATTTTACCAGTTTATGTGTGCGGGAACGACACATAAACAATGTAGGTCGTAAAGGATTATTAGCTTTATGAATCTTAGGTAATCCATATAAATTTGGGGGGAGATAACCCTCTTCATCTATAGCTAAACATATCATAGTAACAGGTCACAAAATTATTGTCCAAACAGCTTTCAAAGTTTTATATAGAAACAGTCAAGGACGTATACTGAGATTTTCCTAAGGCATAGCTATAAACAAATAGAAACCACCTTTGTGTGTACAAAAATGATTTAATCTTAAACTATACTTACCTTGCCTGGTAAACTTTGTTTTCTTACCAACATTAGAACCAACTATGTCACCTCCTAATGTTCTCATCTTTCTTAATTCTAATCCCGTATTGTGTTAATTGTTGTATTTGTCCTACCACTCCTCAGTTAAATAATGTTAAAAGAGCATATTGTTTGAAATGTATCGCACAAATACATCACATTGTTCAGATAAACTTCATCTTCTAATTACTTTATCGAAATTCATAAAAGGGACTAACTGTTTCAAACATATATTAGAAATGAGAATAAATTACTATCATGTTAAGTGGAAAGGCTGAAAAATCCAAAAAAAATACATCACACAGTGTTTACTAATTTATCTTAAACTGAAGAGGTAATATCGAATGAGAAAGTAGCTTCAGACATTAGTTACCATGGCAATGAGTACCTGTGTTTATAGAAAGAAAATTAAGAACAATTAACAGACTTCAATAGCCGCATAATTTGTAGCTGTTATTAGCCATTTAGGCTATCCATGACGAAGTTCAACCTATTCAAGTTTCATTATTTATTGGCCACATAATTTGTTGGTCTAACCCAAGTTGTTCTACCTAGAAACATTGACAAGATTCATGCTTTGCTGAAACCAAGTCAAAAGATCACAAATGCTTGAATAAATATCACCAACACGTTTGTCTATTCACACTGTGTATATATAACCAACTGAATAAAAGCTTGCATACAATAAATCACAGCCATACTGATATCTACAACTCTAAATACTGTCTGGTTGAACCCCGTGTCGAATATTCTTGTTCACAGTGTTACGCAATTCAGGAAAATTATTACGGGTATCGTTAACTTTGATTATTCCTTCAAGATACAGCCAGTATTTAAACGACTCAGAGAAATATCGAGGAGTCTGGCAACAGATTTCAATGGAAATGTGCCTTCGTGAAGCTGCATGACGGTTAGCACACTGATACGAATGTAATGTATGTGAACAAGCAATCTAATCAACCTAGTATTTTGGGTTGTATGCAATCAACAAAGCTTACTTCGACTTCATAGTAAAGTAAGAGAAATACATGACAAACCTCGATCCATAAACTACTCTGCTACACGAGTGCCTACCATAGTAAGTACACTGAGTGTTGGTTACGATAGAGAATGAGTAAATGTGCAAGAATTTCATGAGATGTGATTATAGGAGAGCATGCTTTTTCAGTTCCTTATCACATGAATGAGCTGCGAGTGATAATTTCAACTCACGACTGGTGATTTCATTCTCTTACTACCCGATATCTGCTCAATATTTCAACACGCTTTGAATGCAACTATTATGTAAATATAAGCGATAATTATTTTCCACCCCATAATTTTCGGTAATGTTGGCCAGTGTAACAGGATGGTAGCCAGTTCGTGTGATTATTGTAAGAGTAAGGTTATGCTCTGTTGCTCAAATTGTTGGTGATTGCTTGTAGCTAACAATTTGTGTGAAATGACAGGTATAGGAAGAGATGGAAATCTAAATAATCGTCTAGGAGTGATCTGTTTCAGTAAGTTGTCTATCGACGATTAGCAGCCAGGGATACTTCATATAGCCACTAAGTATTGAGTAAATAAAGCGATGGAAGATTCACTCGAAAGACTTATCGATTGTCTGACCATGTTTTGAGAAATTCTAGTTTCAGAAGCCTAACTGTGTTCAGTGGTTCAAGTCATCAAGCAAGCAAGAAATGAAGGCACAACGTGCTGAATCAATATCACTGACTTTCCTGAAAAATTAGTGTTATTGCTTGTACGACACCGTCGTTGATTGGACCGGATTGACCAGTTTCTATTGGCATATGGGCTTCTGTGTGAATGCCTCGATATTGCCTGTGTTTTAATTATGTATAGTAATGATGGGCAGTGGAATTCAGGATGGGCATTTCGTCCTGTTTGGGACTCGTCAGCTGGGTGTATTTACCTCCCAGTGAATAATGTTGTTCCCACCGGAACTCGGGAGCGATCGCTCCAAACGCCAGAGCGTTATCCACCACACCACCGAGCCACCATTCATTATTACTATACATAATTAAAACATAGGCAATATCGAGGCATTCGCACAGGAGCGTATGCCAACAGAGACTGATCAATTCGGTCCAATCAACAACGGTGTAATACAAGCAATAACACTCAAACTATACCCGTCACACAAGAAGTGGCTATCGTGGTTCGGTAGTGTAATGGATAACGCTCTGGCGTTTGAAGCGATCGCTCCTGAGTCGGAGTCCCGCTGGGAACAAAACCATTTAGTGGGGAGCAGGAACATTCAGCTGATGAGTCTCAAATAGGACGAAATGCGCATCCTGGATTCCACTGCTAGCCACTGCCCATCATCACTTTCCTGAAGAATGTTGTCCAAGTTTTGTAGCGGTGATCAGTGCCAATCAAAGTAGACTTCAGTCGTTCTACGTAGTCGAAGTAAAATCACTAGAGGATCAGTCAGTTCTACCTATCTCTAGGTATTCATTTTGGGTAGTCAGCAGTCACAGAACCACTGAATAAACGCAGATCATTCATTGCACAGTTTAACCGTCCCAATCTGGGAATCCTTATCAGTGTTCCTTCGTCATGCAGTGTGAGATTGAACGTAAGACCTTAAGGTTTCAGACACGCTACCATGCAGATACTGCTTCCTGCCTTCCAACTCCTATCAATTCATGATGCACCAGAACCATTACATATCGACTCTATCTCCCTTACTGTGCGTAATCATTACTCAATGTTTCAACCTTATGTCGGTATCTGAATAATGGTAGTTAACTTGACAGCCTTCAGATGGAATACGTCTTTCATACTATTCCAATTTTTATCTGGAGGTTTATGGAGATATATTAATTGGTTTTGGGTTGAATTTATCATTGACTGACATCGGTCAGAGGAACATTAGAAACCTGGGACTACTGGATAGCTGTCTCATCCTAGTATGGGACTCCTCAGTAGTACGCAGCAATCACTACGTCCATAGTAAAACGTCAACGTATACATCGTGTTGTTCGATACTCATCTTTTTTAATCACCTTCACCTTTCTACCCACCAACGCTGATCTTAGAATCGTGTCATATTTTGATAGTCTGATGACGATGATGGACTTAGTACTGATCCGCTATATAAGAGGAAGGCAGTGTAGGAATGAAAACATACGCTAAGTTGTTTAAATAGAGTGTGTATAATAAATGGGAACGATCATTCAAACCACATTTAAGTGAGTATGTAGCTTTATGCGTATATCCAACTTATCAAGCCTCTATTTCGTAATCTTCGCGATACACGAATTCATCCTATTTTGGACCTCTGTTTTCTGCCACAACCGTTGTTTCTATACTAACCTCTTTTGATACACGGGGGTGATTGGAGGCAGGATTCGAACGAGAGAAGTCGCGTAGGCAACGTTGGCCAACTAGTAGATCACGGTGTCCGTAACCTAGATTTCGCCTGTTCGATTGCTGCTGCTAACCAGATTTACATTTCACTCTCAATGATCAGCCGGTCAGTATCAGTAATTAACGTCTGCCAAAACACGGTTGTCTCAGATAGTCAATCTGATGGCTAACATACATGTTGGCATACAATAGATTTTCATTCAGTTTATCCTTCTGAATCTCTTTCAACCTCAATCTAGACCAATTAATAACCTTGTAATCAAAATCTTATTACGCAATGTCTGTATTTACATATTGCTGATAGGCTGATAGACTTGTTAAATCATTCATTATATAGTCAAGGTCAGTACAGTTGAACTGTAGACTGATTTGTGTTCATGCTTCTGTGTATACCCAGATTGTTTATGAAAGGAAATGTGTTATGTGTATGCGTCAAATCGATCATGAAGGTATTTGTCACTTATACTTGACAAATTATGCGAAAGTATTCACCGTAGTAGAATATATACATATGAGTATCTTATGAAAGAATCAAACAGAGTACAAATCAATTGCTTACTTCTCTCATCCCCTTTATATAAATAATAACACAAAGCAAATATGAACGATCATCAAAGTTTACTTACAAATGGGTTGAGTATTTATCTGAGTTGATTAAACATATCATTTTAACTCTTTCCTTTCTACATTCAACGTGGATTAAACTTTCTCTTATATGATAGATATAAATGCTCAATGTCTTCATGGAAGTCCATATCAAAGTTCATCTCATTCTGTTTGTTCAAATACAGAGCTGAGAAACTCTTCTTCTTCTTCTTCCTCTGTTTTTGATAGACGTTCATCAGTAAATCAGATTAAAAATGCATCTATCATCATTCAACATAGAAATAGAGATTTTCATACTCCTTCAGTGATTATTTCTAATGATCAGTCACATAGTCTACTGAATGCACCGAAACCTTCATTGAAAATTAGTCAAGACAATATCTTATTCATGAAAAAGGATCATTTAATTAAACTAAACTGTGAATCACAAATCAATGCAAATCTCAAATTATTACCAGGATTAGTTCAATTTTCAACAAGAATCAACAGCAGCAGCAAAATCTAGCAGAACAGCAACAACAACCCCCACTAACCAATGACTCTAATTTCCTATCGTCAACACCTTTCACAAAATCGTCAGTAGGATTCTACAGCCATGGAACAGCTATCAATTCAGCTTTTGTCGGAGCACCGAGACTTGCGTTAAATGTTTCATTTCAAAATAGTCAAAACAACCCTGCTAGACATGTAGATGATATGAGTTACTCTCCTACCGATTCTCCATCTATAAATATCAGTACGAGTCCATCTTGTGGTGATAATGCTGGAAATGATGATGATGATGATCATGACCATCCATTAGAAGGATGCAGCAATTTACATACCACAGAAAAGGATCCACCCCTTCGATCAACCAAAGTACGTTGTACATCTGTTCAGCAGGCGAAATGTTCAAACTTCTGTCATACGAATGATACCAGTCTGATGGCTCTCCGATGTAGAATATGTTTAGAAGAAGGTGATGAAGTAGATGGGTTGTTATCACCATGTCGTTGTAAAGGAAGTGTTGGATTAGTACATAGAAATTGTCTTGAAAAATGGTTGTTAACATCAGGGAAAGCAAACTGTGAGCTTTGTGGTTATGCATATATACTGACACCGTCTTACAGATGTTCATCCCAATTTTCGTCTTTACATCACTTACGACATGTCAGTAATGAGATAAGAAGTGTTGGAAACTGGTTAAATTGGCGGCGAACACGTCGACACTTGATTGCTGATGTGATATGTATGATTGTGTTAACATCTGCTACTTATACTGCAGTCTATTTCTGTGTTGTAGGAGCCCTTGACTATGCACAGAGTAATCCACTTGGATGGAAAGTATTTGGATTATGTGGACTTGCAGTGCTTCTTATCTTCTTATTAAGTATATGGATGATCTCGATCATCAAATATCACTTGGGGGATTTTCGCAATTACCAGCATCATCTACAGCAAATGGCTTTAGCTGAGACAGTTCAACTGTCAGCACTACCCACATATCGGTTTTCTGTGCAGCCTAGACCTCGAGGATCATCTATTGTCTTGTGCACCTTACACAGAGATCATGAACTATCCCTTATACCACAGGTACATGAAACACAGATTTTATCTCCATCGAACAAGCAAAGCGTAGATGTGAATGGGTCAGTCTCAGACGATCAGTCTCTAACTTCGAGTAGATCTGCCTCAAGCTCAAATCAACAGATTGTCACGACAGTTTCACTGACTACTGTTCCTGAAGTGACTGACGATTTCTTCAGTTCAAGTAGCAAGACAAGCTATGTAAGCACCACTCAAATCTGATTGTACTCGTTCATGTTGATACTTATGTCGAAATATCGTTTTCTAGTAAATTTCCTGCATTACATGTGTCGGATCACTCACTGTCTGATATGTGAACAGTAAGTCCATTAGTTTGCATTTCATAGGCCACTGCGCTTAATCTACAAAGCTATCTGTACGCGATGTTTTTTTGTTGAATAAAACATGATGTTAAACAGAATAGTCGTTTCTGCATCAAGTTTCACAGTGGTTAAGCATCACTGCCCATTTAATTGTTAAAAACCGTGTGGTAGCGAATGTAGGTAATCCAAGTTTTTTATCCTATGATCAAGTTAGAGAAGCTACATCCTAATTAGTACTTCATAAACTAGCTCCTCCCATATGTTAAGTATTTAAGCTTTTTTTTGGAAACCGATTCATTGGGTATTAAGCTTAGTTTTTGTATTAGCATGTCAAATTATTCTTTTTAAGAGTTTCCGTAAACATCCGTGTATAACGAGGTCACTGTCAAATGTTTTAATAGCTTGAAACATTTTACTGGAATTCACTGCCAGTGTGAATATGTGACATCCAAGTACTATCGAATAAAGGGTGTAGGAAAAAGAAAATATGCTGTACCAGTGTGATCAACCTCGTAGGTGAGTTGGTAAAGCATCCGGCCTAAAATCCGGCGATCGCTGGTTCGAATCTGGTCGCGGTCCAAATTTTCATTTCACCTTCAATAGTCACTCGGAAACATATATATATATATAATGAATACTGGCTAGTAGTAGAATCCAGGATGCATGTTTCGTCCTATTTGGGACCCGTCAGCTGGATGTACCTGCCTCCCAACGAGTGATACTCCACCGGGACTCAGACTCGGGACCAGTACAATCAACAATACTAAATAATGAAATTGCTGTGAGCAGGTAATTTTGCTAACGAGAACGAAGTTGGTCAACATGAAAGGGAAATGATTGGGATTTTGAAGTTGAGTATTATTTATTGACCTCCACCGATAAACCAAGCCCAGAAGACTGTGAAACTAATTCGTTTATTCGTGGTCAGTAAAGTAAGCAAATCGGCACGAAAACTCATAAAAGCATAGTTTTCAAATGCATCAATCATTCAGCTTTCTTTCGTGTCTTCTGTAACCAACGCTAGCTATTTCAGTTACAAAATAATGTTACCAAAGTACTGATTTCCTCAGTTTGAACTGGAGTTTACTTAAGTTTTTACATTGATAGTGTGACAGGTGTTTGCTTGCCTTCAAAATATCATTATCAACAGACGCTTAATGTACTTACCTTCTTTGATGATCCATTTTCAAAATGATCTTATGAATTCAATCACTTTACGTGCTGGTTCCGAATGATTCACATCCAAGTTTAGGCAACGCATACAAAGCAGTTTAAAAATGATCCAAGATGCCTCATTGTTCCGTAAGTTGACTGTGAAATTCATCGTCTTTTTGACGACATTACTGACAGACTTTCCAATACCTCATAAGTCCTTGTAGGATGTCTATGCTGAGCCATTTTAACATCAACAAAGATATGATAGATACGTAGACTTCCAACCATCTCATTACAAACAAGGTAACGCAGATAACTGAGCTATAAATCTGATTTGTGAATTGAATTACTTAAATGGGGAAGCAAAACATAACTAAGAGAGGAACTAATAAGAATTCTACTTCATTTAGAATTTATACAACCATTTTCTCTCTGTTCACTTGCCTTTCGTATAGGCTAATTCGTCAAATGTCATCTCATCGGAGAATAAGTTTGATAATTTGTACTTATAATCAGATCGATCTACTATCATCATTCCTGAGTATTTGTATCACCGAAACACAATTGTGTCTGTATTCACCAGTAGTTGTTTGATGACTGACTGCATAGAATGTTAGCAAATCGACCACAGTCATTTTCGATGGTAGATTCAATTTCTTCCACATCCTTGTTCCAATTCCATATGAAATCAAATATTGTCTGGTTGTGATGAGTTTCTCAAACTGAACTTCTATTCTCAGTTTACTCACATTAAATTGAACATGACAGAATTTAGGGTAAAAGCAACAGAGTTTGTCTTTGAACTGGAGTAATTCAAGATATACTTTTCCCGTTTCTAAACAAATAATGGCTAATTTTAAACACTTTATGAGTACTGAACTGGTAATATTCCAATGCTTAACAATCAGAGGTTATATATTTCTGAAATTTGTCATATTCTTCATCAGATAATTCAAATAATGGATGCGTTCATTGTAGTAAGTGAAAGCACATGGAACCAATCTGATTGATCCAGTGTGTGACGCCATAGTGTCCATTAATGTGGACATACATCGTTTCGATGATGATTTAGAATGTTTGTGGGATAAATCCCGAGTGAACACCTTAGTAATTAGTTTGTAAATGAGTTAGACAAGATAGAGGAGACTATCCTTTTTATTCAATGAGGCACGTTTACAAATCTAAGCAGTAGGCAGATTAACAGTGAAACTTATCACTATCTGAAATGTTTAATCTCATAACTTTAATTTCAATAAAATCATAACTTCATTTCCTTGCTGGTATTATTTAGTACGAATTAAGGACTCTTTAGCTAGACATACCTGATTTTCGGCGTCACTACTAAGCCTCAAACCTTTCTTCAATAGACTGTATGCTAGGCTGATAAGCAACAACATTCTTTGTTTAAGGGATGAGAATCTTGCCAGCACGTGGAGCCTTTTCCTATATTTTAATTTATCACCAAGGCATGATCAATCTTGTTGGTCTTATCAGTTTTCTAGCATTCACATAAAAACGTAATGGAACAACACACATTTATCATGAATCAATAGTCAGCGGATAATGTTCTAGCGTTTAGAGGGATGTGTACTTGGTTGGAGTCTTAGTGGGAACAACATCAGTCACTGGGAGGTAGGTATATCCGACTGACTGGTGTCAAATTGTACGAAACACTCGTCCTGGATTCCACTGCTAGCTATTATCCAACCTAGCGGTTTGCTTGAACTCTGGGCTACCTTATTTTATCACAGTATATATTGCATCAAATTTCTTTTTCCAATATTGTTTTAATCGTTCATTTATGTCAGCCAATCACATTATACACTCTAGCGCGTTTGTGAAACCATTACAGCCTATCGCTTTACAAATTGATAGGCTAATTAAGAAGCATCACGGTGGATAGCAATGGGCTCTGAAGCTTATGACCATAGATCAAATGACTATTTTAGAAAAACTTAGCACAAACTGCAAGGCGTTACCGAATAAAATGAATGCATTCAGTCACTCTTGTCCACAAATATTTATCAAAATACGCGTGTAATAAGGTTACAGGAAACATGACTTCATAAGCTGTATGATATATTGTTGTGATCGAGTGGTGGTTACATGCGTGGGTATAATGATATTGAGACTCAATAGATACCTCAAATAAATACCTTTACACCTGACCTCCCTCAGTACCTTCTGCTCCACTGAGGCGCGAAAAAACCAAAAGACAAAGGACGGCATGTGACTGCAAGAACAGCGACAACTTTCTATTAGACAAATACATGATGTATGTGTATTTACAAAACTCAGAAAGTGAAGCCATAAATGAACCAATCCGATTTCTTGTATGAGGTCGGACTTCTCCAATTAGGTTCTCATGTCAGCGCATGCACAAATCATGACCTGAAAATGATGTGATCATGACTTAAAAACCATTCCCCTATCGGCTGCCTTTTGTCGCTACGTATTATATATAAAGTTCAACCAATTATACATAAATCAGAATCAAATCAAATGTTGGCGAAGTTCATGTTCTGAGGTAGTGAATAACATCGTTACACAAAACCACTTTATTGCCTAAATATTTGAACAGAAGAAGAACAATGACTCAGAATACCCATATGGATTCGCGTAACTAGGTTGTCTATCTACCCTTCAGTTACTTAACCTTTTAATGTCTATTTCTATCATTTACAAATCTGAATTCACCTTACATATACATATTTACATTCGTCTTATGTAATGAATGAATGACATTCGTAATGTGGTGCGGTGTCAGATTTCGGTATTTTGAATGGTATGAAAAAATCTAACCTCAATAAATAGATATTATAGTAATGCATTTTTGAGATGAATAGAGATTTTTAATTTCGAAGTAGTATTCATCATGGACTGACATCAGTTGGGGAACTGCTGAGGAGTCCCATATTAGGACGAAACAATTGTCCAGTGCTCCCGGATTATCAATGCTTCCCCAACTGATGTCAGTCCATGATGAATACTACTTCTAGATATTGTAGTACCTTTAATCGATCTCTTAGCATCATAAAAATAAAACTTCCCTTCGAATGGCTCTCTACTAACAAGGATAACCTGCGTCTATTACCACATGTCAACTTTAGTCCTCTCATTCATAATCATATCACATTACTAGAAATGCATAGTCACAAACAGTCCTACCGTCGGTAAGTACAAAAGCCATCTTAGTACTACCGATGAACCTGTTCATTTTCCAATACGATACAATCCATTGTTATAGTATTCTTTATAATTTTCTTTGTGTCTAGTGTTCATATCTCTTGAAGTTGATAGAGCAGATTTAAATCTGAAGCTAACAGTGAAAAAAAGCAAGTGAGTGTTTTTGTTTGACCATTTGAAGTTGAAAGATGGTAACGCGCAAAGTCTCTCAACCACCACATAGAAGCACTGACTTGACGTTGATGTTGAAAATCTGGATCTCGTTCACGCTTTAAACTGAGTGCAGAAGATCTAAACACTGGTTTCAGGTTAATGAACGCCTGTCTTGCTCTCTTTCCGATCCTGGCTGAACTTGATGTCCTCATCTGTGCCACCGTCGCCTGTAGTTGAAACAGTGCTGTGTAGATAGGTGAAAGAGACTACTTCCTTCAAGTTTCTCCCGTTGACGGTGATTGAAGCTTCTTGTTGTTGGTGGTGCTGGTGCTGGTGGTTGGGTATCTTCATCACCTCTGTCTTCTCTACGTCCACCTGAGGGAAATCTCGTCTTCGCTGCCCTGC